TTTTTTTTATATTGTACTCAGGTTTAAAACAGGTTTATTTATCTATAGTACTATTCAAGAATACTTTTATTTCATTCATGTTCAATTCTTTCAGCAAAGTGGTGATACATCACCAGTGTCAGTAACTGAAACTGATGTTATGCCCTTCAAAACTGTTAATACATTTTTCAGTTATTTTGTATTTTCAATTTAAACTAATATATTTATATTTAAAAACAATTTTTTTCTTTAAATAGATGTCTTTTTTATCATCCTGTGATGCAGAAATTATAAAATTTTTTAAAAAAAAATATTGTGAAAAATAAAAGATTAATTTTTGAACAAATTTAGCATTTTTTTTTAAGAAAAATTATTATTTTTTAATATTGCCATATTTATCCTTATACAAAAATATTATTTATCAGTATTAAAAGCATATTTACATTTAAAGGATTAGGTATTCACTTTTGCTGTTCAATGAATGGAGCTTCAAAAATTATAAGCCTTTTCCTATTATATTATATTATTTTCCTTTAATAAGTTATAGTAAATTGTACAAAAAATATCAAATATTTATTGATACATGTAATTATTATGTGTACAATGGTTAAATGGTTAGAATTTTTACCGTTTACCTAAGTTCAAGGTTTTGGATACTTTAAGACAGTTTTACCCACTTTAGGACAGTTTTACCCAGTAAAACCCACGTGTCTTGTCCAAAACCAGTTTAGGACGTCCAAAACCCCAACCCTGCTGTCAACTGTCCAGGCCAATATACAACTGTCTATAATAACATAAGAGTAATATAAATGTTTAAATAAGAGTAACAAAGTATTTCACCTGCAAAGCTGTCCTTAAGTGTGTTCCTTCTGCTATTGCCAAGTGGTTAAAATTATTTGATAATGTGCTTTGCAGGAAAGTGGCAATAAGAACAATTACAGCCATAACAAAACCATTTTGAATGAATTCCCAAGCAGTAGGATAATATGGCTAAAAAAGAAAAATCAGTTTAAATTATACGAAAATAAATTTAAAAATTTTAAATTATCCTTGTTAAAACATTTAGTGGGAGAAAATACTAAATGAACTAATGAAACACTTGGGTTTAAGAAAACCCTTACGGTCAGATAATCTAAAATAAATTTAAGTACACAACATTATTACAAGGTTGCCAACTTTCTACGCTTTTTGGGAAAATTTCATATAATGGTAGTTAAGTTTATGTGTTAACGTAGGATTCTTTGTCTTGAAAATTTGATATAAAGTTATTATCCACACCACTACATGTTAATGATTCAAAAGCTGATATGAAATGCCACTTTGTTCCAAATCTTCCGTGGTAACTCTTTTAAAATGCTATCAAAATTATGAAAGCTTTAGTTTTTCTACCACTTATTATGATATTTTGCAAAAGGTGAAGTAGTGTGCAGCCCTGTTTTTATAATAAGTATTTAGTTTGTTAAGTCTTTATATAAAAAGATGTTTGGTTCCAGTATAATATTATGTGAGTATACATTTGATACCTTCTAACTTTATGCCATAAAAAAAAACAGGTAACTATGACCGTACATATATGTGAAATTTTTAAAAATTAAGATTAAATTAGGCAATTTGTTATTATTATTTTGGTATTGCTACATTTTTACTACTTTATCAGAAAATCTCCTAGTATCACTTTCAAATTTCATTAAACAAACTAAATTAAAGTAAATTTAATTGTTTTCATAAATGAATCTGAAATTGTCTAATCATTATTCAGCTTTTCATTTAAGCACAACCTTAAGATCACTTTTACAAGTGATTTTTTTATTATTATTATTATTATAACTGGAGTTGAACAGCCCACTGAATTCTGAGTTTACTACTAGTACTATCACTGCCAAACTCCATAGCCTTGCAATTTTGAAATCAACCCAGAAGACAAGGGAACCCCTAGATCAAGTATTAGGACAAACTAGCTATCAAGGAGGACTTTTTGATAAAACAAACCCACTTTTATGTTACATGGAGAGGAAATTCACAAAAACCCCTACAGTTATCATGAGAACGAAGGGACTCTAACCCACTATCGGTCTATCACTAAAAATAATTCAGGTCAGTACTGTAGTCCGTGCAAGCCGAAAGCAAAGTTCACATGAGCCTGCCCTTGCTGGGATTCATACCTGGGTCACCTCATTAGGAAGAAAATATTCTATTCCCTGAGTTGACAGCAACTATGACTATAACTGGGCACTGAATGTTTTTGTCAAATCACTAAATAAAAGTATTTTCGATAGAAAAGATGTCTCGTAAACAGCCTTGTACAGAATCTAAATCTGATTCACTAAGCAATTCAGTTAACTAGATTACCTAACAAGTCACCATACAGGTTTTTATCTAAGTGAACCAGTTATAAACCTTATTTACAAATATGATAATGAACAAGTTTTCATCTAGGCAAATTAGTTATACACCTGATTCATTAACAAGTCACTAAACAAACCATCCTGTAAGTAAATAAATTATAAATAAAAGAGTATAACATACTTGTTCTAGAGTACCATGAGGTAGAGTGCCAGTGCGAACTGATGCAACATAAGCCAAGATGATATTTATTGATAAAGGGCCAATTAAAATCACTACATCACCAGTCACTTTCATAAGCCCTCCAAAAAATAAAGTTTTCCAGAATGTCAACCAATAACATTTCCAGAGGGATATATCTCTTCCAAGTTTTTCGGCAATTTGCTAAAAAAAAAAAAAGTTTTTAAAAAATCACTAGCATTGTAAAACTGCAAAAAATTTTTGATACTAAATACAGTTATTGTTTTTTGATTACAGCTGTAATTTTTCTCTCATAAATTGTAAAGAAGCTGGTAGAAAAAATAGGTATTGAAAAGAATGATAAGTAATTGTTTTAATGTAATAATAGTTGTTGCAAGAGTAAATAAAAAAAGGTTATAGTAAAAATATGTAAATAATCAAGCATGCAACAAATGTGAATAAATGTAAGATAAATATAATTAATTATATGTAATAATTTGTATCTGCAATGTGGATCATTTTTTCTAAGTTTAAAAATCATAGAACTTTAATGTGGTGATGGAACATTTTATTCCCCAATCTTTTACTTTGAAGTCAGAAAAAAAAAATAATGTTGTAATAACAGATTGGAATGTTAACTCTACGAAAGCATAAAGCATCAATTGATACTATATGGATAACATTCCTTTGTGATTGATATCAAAACTATTCTTATTATTAAAAAGACAATAATTTACATATACAAATAATATACTTATGCATAGTTTGCACCAACTATAGTGATGACCTGAAATATTTTACCACTTTTTCCAGGATATATATAAGGTAATGCAGATTTGAATAGCATATTACCTTTTCCTTAAGATATATTTCATTAAATCTTCTAAATTGGTATTCAGCTTTTTCTTCCTAAATATATAAATAAAAATATTAAATACAAATAAATAAATAAAAGCAGCATAATAATTAAGGGGGGAAATGCTTATTAAAAGGAAACTTATGATAAAATGTAACTTTCAAACATATCTTTAACATTAAGTTATAAAAATATTTATGAAAAAGCATTTTGATTTTAAAGGTCTTAATAATTTATTTTACTGTTAAATGGCTTTAATATCATCAAGTTGCAAAATATCAAGTAAATTCACATATACACAATTTCTAAATTTTAATTATTTTATAAATAATTTAATAATAAAGATATACCAAATGAAAAAATATAAAATTTCAAAACATTATTTGTCATTAGAAATTAAATAAAACACACATAAGATATAAAGCAATATGCTTAATTTGCGTAAAAAGGGATATCTTTAAAATTATATTGAAACAATTGCATCATTTCAGCAAAAATGAATAAAGTATTCATCCATTAAGTAGTAAAAACGAATAAGTATATACACATTGAGAATATATAAATAAGGCTTCGTACATAATTGAAGATCTTAGATAAGATTTTAGGTATCATTTTTGAAAAATTAAAATTCTTCAGGGAAAAATATCATTCTAGTCCTTCTTAACTATAACACTGATTAATTTTGATAAATCTTTCGGCAGACCTCAGAGGAGGAAAGTAATAAATTTCAATTTTTGAGTGTTTACAGAGTGAAAGAAGGTTCCAAGTGCAGCTAACAGTTAACAAGTAATTTTAGAAAGATTTTTTTAAGCAGAAATTATGTGTGTGCTTGCTATGACAGTGACAGTTTAAATAAGTGTTAGGAGTTAATGCATTGTTCTCTTATAAAACTCTTGAATAAAAAATAAAGTGCCAATCATAAACAACAAATGAACTTTTCAAGTTAATTTACTCAAATTCATTTATAACCTAATTCACTCAGCTCTTCAGTTAAAATTTTCATTTTACTCAGTATAAAATATAAACTAATAAAGAAAGGAAAAATTATTTTTTAAAAATCTGAATTTAATAACAAAAAAAAAGTTTTAAAAAAAGCTGAAGATTTTTTTACACCATATTTCCAAGGGATCAAAGTACTTCGTACACTTGAAAAAAATATAAAATTAAAAAAGAAATCCAAAATAAATAGCTATCTGAATAATGCATTTTTTGTTTTATTAGATAAACATTTCTATATTTTTTATCTTATCTAAAAAATTTTACTCTATTTTTTATAAAAACTTTAAAATGAAAAAAAAAATACAAATTCTTTAATATGTATGTCAGAATTTCTTTGAAAAATAAAAAGAGAAAGTAAGATAAAAATAATTTAAAATGTGAATTTACTTCTGGAAGTCCTTCTAAATCTGCAAGCTCTAATGGACGATGATAACCCAATTTCAATAGAGGAACAAGCCATGAAAATGTTGCCTTGGCGAATAAATTGACGTAAGGATGTAAATACTGAATGTTAGAAACATCAAATTTGTATTCTGGCTCTTCATGATAAGGTTTATGACACAAATATTTCTGAAACAAAAGTTAACTGTTAAAAAATTAGACTGCGAATTAATAATTATGATTTTTGCAAATACCGAACAAAAAACTGACAAAGGAAATACAGATTTAAAAAGTCTAATTACATAGCTAAAACATATTATATAACATTCGCTTTAATTATAAGGTACAGAAAAATAGCCAGACTAACAATCTTTAATAGAACTTCATTAAGATTAAATTAACAAAATATAACAAATAATAATAAGAGTAGACTTTTACTAATAAATAAATTTATTTGGTTTCAAAGTGGCTGCCTTTTGCAGCAATGCATAGGTGCAAATACTTCATGAAATTTTCAGCGATAAGTCACAAGTCTTCGACCTATAATCTATCCCATTTCAGTCAAAATGATTGCTTTAGACAGTGCAAACTTTTATGTGGTTTAGTGCAGGCTCAAGACTGTAAAATGGACCATACACTGTAATCCATGGAACATGGAATACATCATTAATTACATGTAATACATCATTAATTACATGTAATCAATAGATTTAGCTTTATATTGAAAAAAGCCCAAAAAATAATATGTTATCTAAGAGATATATTATAAAATATTTTATAATTGTAGAGCTGGGAAAACCAAATGAACACACAAATTAACAAGAAATTGGACTTAGTTTGAATTTTTTTGCTGTCTCTGGTATAGAAAAAGTATTTATTTATTAACCAAAAAGCAGCAACATTTAAAAAGTACCTACATTTTACTCCTACAATCTCTATAAAGATTTTAAACAAAAAATTAAGAATAAGGAATACATCACATTAATGACATTTATAACTATTTATATATACAAAAATTATGAAATTTTATATGCAAAATGAGTTACAAAACTACTAAAGAATAGATTCTGTCCAGACCAAGGCCATGATGGGGTATTAAGGAGGTCATATGTGTGTGCATACATGTTACTAGCAAAGCTTAAAATGACATTCTATACAATGCCTAGGCATTGAATATAATGTCAAACGTTTTTAGGCAAAATACAAGAATTATTATATACTTCCAATAAGCATTGAATATAATAGATATGTATTCTATAGAAAGACAAATGTTATTTTGATAAAGAATGAAAAAAGATCCAGATAAGGCTATTATATAAATACTGTGCATTTCTTAAAAACATAGATGTTATTTTGAAAAAATAATGAGAGTGCCATTAACAACAAAAATAGGTATCTTACAAGAGTCTAGTGCATACTGCGTATGGTTGAATTGATGTTTTCTCTGCCTTGGAGTACTGCAGCGGTTGAAAGGGGCTTTTCAGCAATGAACTTACAAAAAAACACATTAAGTACTGGTCTTAAACAAGAAGCGTTAAACATAATTATGAACATCTACCTAAATGGAAAACCCTTTTCAGATTTCTGTGCAGAAACCTCTGTAAGTCATTGGCTTGATTGTGGAACTGGCAAACGTCGCATTTGATTCATTTAAAAAACGCAGTACCTTCAGATAAATTGACATTCCAGATAACTTGACCTTTGTCATTTAAATTACTTCATAAAAGAAATACTAGGTTATTATTAGTAATCTAGCATTTCCTTTATTACTGTATAACGTAATCTTAGCATTTGTAATCGTAGTAACTACTAATTAATTGTGCAATTTATATAAATGTTTGTAATAAATAAGAGAAAATTATATTTTTATTTATTTAGAAGCTGCGGGTAAGTTTCAAAGGAGAACGGGTACATTGTTGGACAAATGAAGGCTATTTGTTTGAGGCACTCTAGAGATGAGGATGAAGTAGAATCCAATACAGAGTAGAATCTGCATGATTATACTAATAACAATACTGAATTCGACACAGATGATGTCCTGAAATCTTTAGACTTTGTAGTATATATTAAAAGTTTTCCTAGAGTCATACATTTAGAAATAGTACTCTTGAATAAATTATCTTAACTTTTATACTAAATTCTCTTAGAGAATTTTTATATTAGATTCTTTTCTGAATATAATTTTTTTACATTTGACAGAATATTTCCTTCATATTATCAATGGAACTGTTAAGTATTTTATATTGCAGGCTAGAGGGAGCTTTGCTTATTTATTTTTTTCCATTGATTTACATACTAGTTTTGAATTTGGGTGAAATTCCAAATAAAAAGCATACTCTTCAGCTTATACAAGGATGGGCTTATATTCAGAAATTAATTATAATAAATTTTTTAAAATGCATTTTTACTACAATTTTAAACTCACCTATATGATTTCCAAGCAATGAAATTTTATACCACAAAAGTCTAACAAACCATTTTTTTTTTAAATTACAAATAATCTGTTGTATTCTAAATTGATTTTTTAATTCTACTTCATTACCAATACATCTTAAAATTTTAATAATTCCATTCATATAACAGTAAAAGAATTTCTATAATGAAGAATGATACAATCAAGTTATAAAAATGACTTTTTGTAATTGCATATTATAGGAAATATATATGAAAAATATTATGATTTTTATAAATATTCTACGAATATTCAAAAAATTATAATAATCTTAACTTAATTAAGTTAAAATGATATAGGTTTGTTGGAAGTGACATAAATTCAAAATAGTTCAGAATAAAAATGAAAAAATTTTCTTATATAAATTTTCCTTATAAAAACAACTTTAAAAGTAATATATATTCATCATAAACCTTTTTATAGAAATTATGAACAAATTATGCACTAATGAATTTCATAAAGGCATGGCGAAACTATCCATTTATTAGATTCATATACATGATAGCTGTATGATTAATTTGGGAAAAAGAGTGTAATATGATAATTAATTTAGGATTAGTGCACAATTCATAAGTAACTTTAATTCAATAATTAGCATAATTCATTATGAATTTTACATTCGTTCAATTGTACCTCATAATATGTTTGAATATCATTTACCTGTACAATTAACAAAGTAGCATCAATAGCAGTTAATACAGAATAAAACACAGTAAAAGCCCATGTGACTTCAATCCTCAAATGAAAGATATTCAGACCCATTCCATAGAGTGTGACAAGTTTGGCAAGCTTCAAGATACCAGCTATGGGCCAGAACAAGAAGAGAATCATCAAGAGTTTAGGACGATTCAAACGTTCTACATAATAATAAAAGAAAATTGCAGAGATAGTTGACAGTAATGATGTGAATGGTGCCATGACAACATGAAATTTCGTGAATTCATTGAATTGATTAACGAGTATCCCTTCACCACATTCTATAAAATTTAAACACAAAAGGAGAAGTGTCAAAATCCATCTTGTGGTATGTTCATGGTATCGGACCAATTCTCCTTGTTTGCTTTGTATTTTTGTGCATTTGTACCTTAAAGTCACTACGACGGTCATAAACACCAGTAAGATGTTTAGTACCATACTGATAGTATCCACATAACATTCTTTACGGGTTGAAAAGTACCGAATTGTCCCGTTAATACTAATCTCAGGATCGGCACAAAACATTTTTAGTTTCTAATTGCATTCCTTTGTTAGAGCAAACTCTTGATGGGGAAACCGGCTCTTCCCACACATTTGAACTCCAGAGTATTAGAGAAGAATGAGAAGGTGACCAGAAGTGCTCTTGGAGAAAAGACGTTCTGTCAGATGGCGTGAAAACATTATTGACATTCACATGGAAATCATAACAGACCGCCTACACTATTTTGATTATAAAACTAAGCCTGTTGCCATTCACAAACACAGCAATTTTTACCTCTAATAATTTCTTTTCATTTTCACGAGGTTCGCATGAGTGGAAATTTAAACTATGAAATCGCGAATATAAGTTTATTTGAACACTTTTTTGCAAAAAAAATTTATGATTGTATCATTATCATATATTTCTCATCATATATAATTGTAAACTACAATTTGAAATATACTTACTCTTAAAATTTATTGAATCGAAATTCCTGGACTGGGGTAGTCGCTGAGCAGTATCACTACCATGAGTTCAGAAATGTGGAAAAAATTTCCTTTTGCTATAGATCTACCTCTAAATTTCTGAAAGTGACCTCACGAAATGCAATGGTATGTCATCGGCTCATCCTCAGGGATGTTTCCCAGACCGTCGCCAATAGCCCATTGTGCAGCTTCAGTGCTACGTAAATAAAGCTCCTACCTATCTCCCAAATAAATTATTTGTAGCTGTCATATACCAAAAAAACTTCTTAATTGTAATGTGTATGCAGTTTCTACGAGTAGAAACTATCTACCTCATAAAAATAAAAGAAGTGTTCATTGCATCATAAAATATTTGATAAATTTTTCACTCTAATAAAAAAAAAATTGACAGCCATTTTTGGAAAAATTTACAGCGTTTGCAAAGTGGATAGACCTATTTTAAAAATGGACACGAGTAAAAAATACTTTTTTTTTATAAAATTACAAATTCCTGGTTACAAATTTTTTCACTAAAGTAAAAAAAAAAAATAATAATAATAAGTGAATAAATAAAAAAAAAATCATTTCTTAAAAGATAAAAAAAATATTTTTAGTGATCATTTATTCTTTTTTTAATAATTTATTTTAATGATGATCAAAATATTTTTTTAGAGAAAAAATTTGAAATGTAAGAAATTTTTTTAAATTTTTTTATTTGTTTTTCGGTACTCTAGTTTTTATGTATATATACTAGCTAAATATCCTTTCTTCGTAAAAAAAAAAAAAAAAAAGTAATGATCAATAAATCAGTGCTAAACACGAAATCATGCTCAAAAATGAAAAGCATGATGTAATTAATAAAACTAAATAAATTTCGAATATTTCTTCACTTATTATTTTTTGCTGCCCACACTGATGGTTTTACGATATTCAATTAGGCAAAACGCGCTTTTTGTGTTTTTCATCCCATCAGATTAGAGATTAACTATATTCAACATCACTTGGCATGATGCTACTGCTCGCGACCAAATTGTGATAATCGAAATTTACCAATATCATACAATTTTCTCCAATACATATGCCTTTCGAATGTCTGTTAGACACTCATTTTCACAGTATCTGTATTAAAACTGCTCTATAATGAGGTCGGTTTAATAATTATTAAAAATATCCCAATAATACTTTGTACCTATATTAGTATATTTGGCACCGACTGCAACATTAGGGATTGTGCGAAATACATTAATCAGTGTTAGCAAAATAAACCCGAATTATTAAAATCAAATAAAATTCTAAGGAGGCTTTGATAAGGACTTTAGAGCATGGCAATTTCTCTATCTGAATTTTAATTTACTGTGTATTCATTAAAATACTAATATACCTTCTTTGTTGCCACAGGAAATTGATTGTTCGAAACTATGGAAAACCTTTGTAGAACTCTAATTGAAACAGTGCCAATTGCCGCAACCAAAATTAGTTAAGCGTTATCTAAGTATAGAGATTTTCTACGGTTTCTTCTCTTCTTCTCATTGGCACGACAGCCCAGGATGGGCCTTGGCCGGCCTTCTCATCAAGCCTATGCCAAGACATTCTTCCCTTAGCCAAGGTTCTCCATTTAATTATCTTTAAAATTTGTAGGTCCTTTGCAAGGCAGTCTAAAAATCTTAGGTTTGGTCGTCCTCTTTTTCTTCTACCTGTTGGCCTGGCACAGAAAACTTTTTTGGTTGTCCTGCTATCCTCCATTCTTATAATGTGGCCTGCCCATTTAATCCTTTGAATTTTGATAAATTTAATGACATCAGGTTCTTTATATGCTTTGTAGAGTTCCGTATTTGATCTTCTAAACCAGGTACCGTTTTTACTTATTCCACCAAAAATGCTTCGCAGTATTTTTCTCTCAAAACTAGCTATCATATTTTCATCTCCACGGGTCATTGTCCAGGTCTCACNACGGTAATATTGTGCATTTTTCCCTCGTGGACCTCTTGAACCAGTGGAAGTGCTTGTGGTTGCCTCATCGTCTCGCCATGGAAAATGTATTTGTATTAATAATGTATGTGAATGCGTCATAATGTAATTTCAAAAGAGAAAACCTAACAATCAATTGATATTCACCAGAGACTTACCTTGACATAACCTTAAATCCGTCGCATTCTCCGTGGGATTGTTTTCACTCATTTTTTTATATTGTTATCCACTAAATTTGAAAATAAAAAATACTATCCTAATACATGTTGGAAGTCGCATAAGAACTTCAAAATACTTTTCTCATAAAATTAAAAATTCCTGGTAGCAAATTTTTTCACTAAAGTAAAAAAAAAAGGAAGTAAATAAATAAAAAGAAAATATAAATCTTTTATTGAAAGATAAAAAAAAATATATTTTTATTGATCATTTATTCTCTTTAATAATTTAATTTAATGATGATCAAAATATTTTTTGAGAGAAAAAATTTGAAATGTAAGAAATTTTTTTTCATTTTTTTATTTGTTTTTCGGTATTCTAGTTTATATATATATAATATATATACTAGCTGAATGTCCTTTCTTCGTAAAAAAAAAAGTAATGATCAATAAATCAGTGCTAAACACGAAATCATGCTCAAAAAGGTAAAGCATGATGCAATTAATAAAACTAGATAAATTTCAAATATATCTTTACTTATTATTTTTTGCTGCCCACCCCCTTGATGGCTTTACGATATTAAATTAAGCGAAACGCTCTTTTTGTGTTGTTCACCCTATCAGATTAGAGATTAACTTTATTCAGCATCACTTGGCGATGCTACTGCTCGCGGCCAAATTGTGATAATCGAAATTTACCACTATCATACAATTTTCTCCAGTACATATCCCTTTCGAATGGCTGTTAGACACTCATTTTCACAGTATCTGTATTAAAACTGCTCTATAATGTGACAGCTTTAATAATTATTAAATATATCACAATAATACTACCTATATCAGTATATTTGGCACCTACTGCAACAATAGGGAATTGTGCGAAATACATTAATCAGTGTCATCAAATTAAAGCCGAAATTTTAAAATCAAATCAAATTCTAATGAGACTTTGATAAATACTTTGAGCATGGCAATTTCTCTATCTGAATTTTAAATTACTGTGTTTAAAATATTTTTAAGTAACGGTGGAAAAAAAGTTCTTTTAATACTAATTCATTAAAATATTCATATACTATCTTTGTTGCCACTGGAAATTGACTGTCCGAAACTATGGAAAACCTTTGTAGAACTCTGTTTAATACTGCCTCAATTGCCACTTAACAAGTAATAAGTAATACGTATTACCAAAATTAATTAAGCGTTATTTACGTATGGAGATTTTCTACTGTTTACCTTAACGAAAATAGGTACGTTTTGTACTTTTCCATATCGCTGACTCAAGTAAATTCGGTTAATTTTTTTAGTTCTTTTTTTTAAAACAGACATTACCAATATATATATATATTAAAAATTTTTAAAAAAAAGGTAAGTTTACATAAGCCAAGTGACTTTTCATTGGCAACTTTATTACTTGCGTCGGTGAAATGGAGAAGTACCGTAACTTTTCTCCAGTACCTTTGTTTTTTAATGTATGGCTTTTTTTTTTTTATTTCAATTAATACATATTATCAATTTTACTTAAGCATTAGTGTCGATAATAATAAAATGATTTTTTAAGATTCTTCGAAACGAATAAATATCTTTTCTCCATTAACTTTGCTTTATAGCACATTTATTTTTTTATTTCAATAAATACATATTGCTAACTTCTAACATTATTCAGGTAAATAATTGTATGGCTATTTTTTCTGTTACTCCTAAACGATTAAATACCTTCCCGCCATTTTTTTCCCGCCTTCCCGCCACACAACGTGTTATGGTAAAAATTTCTTTACTTTAATTTTGTCATTTATTTATTATTATTATTATTTTAATGAAATTTATTCAGGTGTTCCAATTTTTTCTATATAATTTTGCGCACTGCACATCACTTGCCTTCTAAGAAGCACTCGGTTTTTTTCGTCTTTTAAAGTAATATGTGTAATCATTATGCAAGAGTGTAAACTGCGCCATTATAGAAAAAAAAATTTGATAAAATTTCATTTTTCTATATTGTATCTCTTTTTTTGATCGGATTCTGAAAGGCTTAGAACTCTTTAATACTGGGTATTAAATACTGGAAAATAATTCCTTTACTTTAAACTACTTCTTTAAATAAAAGAGACTAGATTTTGGAAAATAAATTCTGCTGGGCCAAAGCCCTAACACCAATCCCGAAGAATGATAAGTTACTACTGTACAACTTGTTATACCTTAAGTTCATATATTTAACAAAGGTTAGGTATATGAACTCTCGTATTACTCATGTTGAATGGACTGAAGTACACTATTGAAAAATAAATTAATATAGAGTGAAAAAGAGAAAACTGTTTGTTAAAGGTTTTCTTTTTCTGTTTTTCAGATATGGGCATATTTTGTAGTTCTTTTTTTTCCGGGAAATTTTCTAAAACTTATGACAAAAAAAAAAAAAAAAAATTATAGTTAAAACATAGACGGAAGCGGCTGTATGAACTCCTCGTAAACAAATGTTTTCTTTAAAAAATAGTGTGATTGACTTGCATATAAAAATATTGAAGAATTTCTTAACACCTTCATTTTTTTTTTTTTTTTACTTTTTTCATTGAAGTAATCTAAAATGGAAAAATAACGATTATAATTTAAATTTAATAAATAAATTTAATAAATAAATGTAATAAATAAATGTAATAAATAAATTTAATAAATAAATTTAATAAATAAATTTAATAAATAAATTTAATAAATAAATTTAATTAACAAATTTAAATTTATAAATTAATTATTTCCACCACCAAGTTCTTTTTTAAAGTCCATTTAAAAAAACAATTATAAAATTTAAAAAAATAAGACACAGATTTTTGAGTGAAGGTAAACATTTATTAATGGAAAACAAAATACTCAGATATAAAGAAAGAAAATAAAGAAAATTGTATATGTTCTTGATGTGCAAGAAATTGGTTACGTTAGGAAGAACAGATACTTCAGACTGCTTAAGCATACATGTTCAAGGCATCAAATTCTACTATTCACTTTGTGACTTCAGAAACATGGCCAATGATTTGCTACTTGTGGCTACTAACTTATCCAAATATTTCAATTCATTCACAGTGGCGGATCGAATTGTCAAGCACTGATTATCACCGTTACTTCTTACAAGTATTATACATCTGGAAAAAGAAATGATGGCATGTTAAACAAGGTGTTCTAAAGACGCAGTATGTCGCATATTATTCTACTATAACTAAATGGTTCAAAAGTAAAATTTCAAATTAAAGTTTTGATTTTTTTAAAAAAAAAGTATTTTGCTATATATACAAGCCATGTAGTAATAATCACTGTTTCTAATGTGTACAGTGTGGGAAAAAAACAGATTACTCTGAATAACTATTGATCTAATGATCGGATTTTCACGTTCAAAGACTCAATCTTAATGGCTCGAGGGGGTGAACTCAAATACGCCAATTAATAAGTGTAGACTATATTTTAAATTATGAAATTAGACGCAAAAACGTACTTTCTATGAATAAACATACCTTTTTTCCTACGGATTCGGATTTCTGACCCCCAAAATATAGGAGGTAGCCACAATCTAGAAAATATGTTCCCAATAGTTTGATCAGGAGAGTGCTCCAAAATTTGAATCCCTTAATGTTAATTTTACTTGTTGCGTATTTCGTTATATCTCAAGAACATTTTAATCGAATTGAAAATTCTTTGCATATAATTATAATGTTTGTTCATCCAAAGAAAATTCCATGTAAAAAATAACCTTTATTAAATATTTATTATTTTTGTCATTTTATTTAATAATGGTCGAAAAAAATTTGAATTGTAAGGTATAAAATGTTTTGTATCATTTCAAAAAATATAATTTTACTTGGCAAAATACAAAATTTGAGCTAAATCGGTCGAATAGTTTCAAAGAAATCGAATTTTAAATATCTGATTTTTTTGAAGTTTAATTTCTCCAAAACAATATTTCTGGTTTTGCTGAAACTTTGAATTTTACCATGTAGAATTAAATGTTTTAAAATGATGCAAAAATTTTCATAGCTTACCATTCAAATTTTTCATTAAGTAATGAAAAAAATTATAATAAATATTTACTAAAATTTATTTTTGCATGAAAGATTTTGCATTTTTGGATAAAAGAATTTCATAATTATGTACAAAAAATTTTCAATTCGCTTAAAAAGTTCTTGAGATATAGCGAAATACGCTAAAAGTAAAATTAACATTAAGGAGTCTATACTTTGGAGGGCTATCCTGATGAAATTATTGGGACCATATCTCCCAGATTTCGGCTACCCTCTACATTTTGGGAACAGAAATACGAATCTGTCGAAAAAAGCTACGTTTATTCAGAGAAAGTACGTTTTTGTGCCTGATTCCGTAACTTAAAATATCGTCCGCACTAAATAATTAGCATATTCGCGATCACCCCCTTCGAACCATTAGAATTGAGTCTTAGAACTTGAAGACCCGATCATTAGATCAAAAGTTATTCAGGGTGGACCGTTTTTTCTTTTGAACACTGTACATTTATTTGCCTAACAAATTGATATTCAAGCAAGAAAGAAATGAAAGACGCTTTGGAAGTCCAACGAATCAACATTGGTGACGGTGAGATTAAAAACATCAAAACCTGTTCGATTGCCAGATAAAATTTTATGTTGTTAATAATTGGGTGCTTGCAACTAATTATGTGGCTGTGTTTAATCACGTTGTTATGCATGACGTATTAGCATACAGCTTTAAGGCTTGGGTTTATTATCGCCCTGAATAAATTTTCGAATCGGATTTAATTGGATACATGTAAGCGACGTCAGGTGTGTATGTTGAACCTGATTGGTTCACCCACAAGTGTGACATCGCTTGAAAGCATTCAAATGTATTTTAACTTTTCTCTGTTCCAGCGAGACTAGAAAACTGCTAGAAAATGTTTGAGGGGAAAAATGATCGCTAAAAGGAATGGGTGAGCCATATACTTATAATGGCTTTACCAACTGGTTACTTACACAGCATCTTGTGTAAATTTTTTGCAATACAATTCGTCGTAAATTAAATTTATCGTTAGGGATAGTTAAGTTTTGAAATTAATAATGGGGATAGTTAAGTTTTGATATTAATATGAATATTCCACACAGATTACTTTACCATCATAATAACAAAGTTAAACAAATACAACATTACATTCCAAATTATTCTAGATTATTATGACTTTTTCATTATTGGCACTTTTGTTAATCTTAACGAATTATAAGTCTGAAGTTCATAGTTATACTATTTTTTTCAAGGAATTATTGCGTATAATAATTCATATTTTATATTTTTGCAGCATTGAAATCAAAAAATTATCAAAATTAGCAAAAACAGGATTACTATAGTCAGGATCTCTGAAATGTTGAAAAAAAAAAGAAAAAAAAAACGCTTAAAATGTAGCAGAACTTTCAGATTTCCGGTTCATATCTTCTTTTAACTTTTAAATATTTTTATCAGCTACAAATTTGACAAATTATTTCAATGCCACTAAATGTGCTTAGATCTTTTTAATTTTTTCAAGAACGTAGAAACCATTTAAAAAGGTGTTAATATTTAATGTCTTCATAATATCTTAACAAAATGCAATTTGTGGGTTTAACGTTATGATTATTCATTTTCAAGTAGTTCTTAAGAATTTTTTTTAAAAATTAAAGTAAACGAAACTTTAAACATATTACCGATGCCATTGTCCAGGTAAAAGTTTTGGTAGAGAGCGATCCTAAGAGAAAAGCAATATTATTTACAAAAACATATTTAATAGTATGTAATTGTGATAGAGGAATAAATATTGAAAAGTAATTCGTAAAAGTGTTTAGAAGCCTTACTATGGCATAAAATGTGCAAGTAACTCGATTCTTGGTCTTCTGGCTTTTTAGTTGAATTTTCGTTGCCTTTGGTTGTGGAATATCGCAAGTACGTTCTAAAATACCTATAAAACGTAACAGTAAATGTTTTGTTTTCTTTATTTTTATAACAATCACTCTTTTTTAAAAACAAGATTCGCATTATTTATTTATTCTATTGTATGATCTAAGGACAATGTATGCATTTTAATTTTACGAAAACTGAGTTAAGAGCTAGAATGACCAAATAGGTATGTTTTCTTATTTTAAAATAAATTAGAACTCATCATTTATTCTTCGAAAGTTTTGAATTTATTTTAATATACATATTTTCTAGACTTTCGAAATAAAAATTTGCCCCTTGCTTAACGAATCATGTTACCTTTCTGCCACTTTGGAAAATAAATATTAATTATAATAATAATATGATAATTTGTTAATTATGAAAATATATTAGAATTTAATATAATTTCTTTTCAGAGTTCCAATAAAAATATGTAAGCGCGTTAATTACTAAAAGGAAATCAATGTCTCTTAATGATCATTTCTGAACTGCTCAAATATTCACTGCATTTTAAAAACCTTAAACATTTTTAAAACTTACGAATATCCCTTAAAAAATTTTCCTATTAGAGATAAGTTCAGATAAGTTCAAATTTACTTTTGAGGGTTCAAAATCAAAGGCTATATAAAGAATCACGGAGTTTTGAGCAAGAAATTAATCAATACAAATTTAATTCGTATTGTTGAGCTAAAGTTTTCAGCCATCACTTGATTTTTTATGACTGAAAAGTAGTCCTTTAGATTTTTCTAACAACACCTTAAAACAAAAAACAAAAAAAAAACAAAAAAATGTTTTTTTTTAAAAAAGGAGAGGATATTTTTAGAGTTAAAGAGGGAGCCTGAAAACTACTATTTCTTTATTTCTTATACAGCGTCGCATGAGAAAACTAATTTTTATTTCCCTTATGATATGCATAAATAATTTTTATAAAGTAATTTAAAGTTACATAATAAATTGTCTAAATGCATACACAAACAATTGTAATAATTTTAACTTACAAGTACTATGAAATATTTCTTATATAAATTTCGCAGTGCATTTATTATTTTATTTTTTTGTTGTTACAATTGAGCTGTTGATTCTCTTACTGATACGTGTTTAATAATACACTCAGAAGTAGATCTGAAAACAAAATCGTGATTAACACCTTAAGCGGAAGATAAAACTAATTAATTTCACAATTAATTTTACTAATTAATTAATAACATTTAATTTAAGAGCCAGTTAACCATTTAGGAAACCAATTTTCCATCTACGAAATCACTGTTTCGACAGGATTGAAATTGTTAGATTTTTTAAACTTTTCATGACTAATAAGGTATGTTAATTATAATTATTCTTAGGAAATAAAACTTTTAGCCAATATTAGAATGCAAAAATAGCTGGTAAAAATTAGTTGAAAAAAAAATATTAAAAATGTTTTTTTTCTAATATTAAATTTCCTTTATATATTTAAGCGATAACACTTCTTCATTTATAAAATGCTGCAACTATAGTTACATATACGATTTCGATACAAATAATTACAAATAAGTATAGTTACAAATAAGACTCGGCAACCGCTCAACAACATTCAATTTCGCTTAGAAAGTCAGAAAGAGAATTATTTCCAATTAAACTCAAATATGTTTGGTTGTTACATTATTTCTGTAAATAATTTGAAACCCCAGAAAAAGTGCTAACCTAATCAATTAGAGAAAGCTTTTAATTTTAATGAAGGACTCCCCATAGGTGCAAAGTTTTACACCTTTTGCGAAAGATGATGCTGTAGTATAAAAACATGTTTTTCTGCATTTTATTCCTGATTTCACAATGGTGATTTTAAAAGATTTTGTCTAGCACATGTTATTAATTCAAAAAATATATATGAATAGCAAAACTTATAATCTTGCTTTCTTGTTTTAATAACTCGTAAAATATAACAAATAATTGCAAAAATGTAAGAAAAATAAATAAATGAGTTATTTCACTACCACGAGGAAAAATCTTTTCCGAAAAGTCACGAAATTTCGAACTTTGAAGGAATGATTCACGTATTCAATTTTTTTTTCTCAGAATTCTATTTAAAAGTTACAAATGTCTATATTTTTAAGTAAATAAAGGGAGCTCTCTTTGGTCTCAAATTCTAAGAGTTACGTTACAACTATATAAAGATCAGCTACTTCCATTCCATCGCCGAATCTCAAGATCATTGATTCCTGAAAAGATGTTAAAAACTCAAACTAATCTAGTTTGACACTCATGTTTTTTTAATTTTTTAAAAAAATATATGTAGTTTTTTGGGGGACTTATGGACAGTTAGATATTATAATTAGGATAAGGAAAATTTAGAATCTTTCTGTTCCAATAGATTTCGTTTCCTTAAAATTTTGCTTCATTTATTTATTTATCTTACCATTAAATGGGTGCCGCTGCACGACTCTTTAGAAGTATCGAGATGCCTTAGCATGGTATTTATGTTTTTTTTATAGGGCATCGTTATACAAGGTTCGGCTATTAATTTCCAGGACTCGTGGAATAACTCAGAAGAAAATAAAGTTAAACACATAGCCATTTAATATTATTCGAAGTAATCCCCATCAGCCGTAATACACGTCTGTGCTCGGCTGTACAAATTTCGGAAAGAAGTTTTAAAGTCCTCTTTTGGAATGCTCTTTATTAGTGACGTTACAGTTTTCGTGAAGGCTTCGACATCCTGAAATCTTGTTCCCTTCAGTGAATTTTTCTGCTTAAGAAACAGGAAAAAGTGTGGGCTAGGTCTGGCGGGTATGGTGGATGGTGCGACTCAACGACACCATGCTGAGCTGAGAATCGCCTCACAGCAAACGCAATGTGTGGACGCGAACTTTTTCAATTGCTTCCGGCTTGTGTACGAACTGCGGCCGAACTGTGTGCGGATCATCTTCCACGCTTTCGCGTTC